AGGCAAGTAAGGTGCAGGAATTAAAGAGAAAAGGAAGGGAAATTCAGCAAAGATTGTAGGGCAGATTTAGGAATGTGTTTTGGGTCAGAAAATAGGCAAGAAAGGATGTAAGGTGTGGCATAGGTTAAGGGAAAAAGGGAAAGGAGTTTTTGGTTCAGAAATTAGGCAAGGAGGGAAGGTAGGGTGCGGCAATGAGAAGAAATAAAAGAGGAATGTGGTTTTAAGGCAGAAAATAGGAAAGGAAGCTTTCCCTTGTGCGGCAAGGAAAGGGATTCACCTAGGGTGGTGCGGCAATGTCTAGGGCAGGTTCTAGGACTTCTAGAAACATGTAATTAGGCAACCTAACATGTTTTGAAACCCTTTTGTGGCTGGAACATAGGTGAGGAAGGATTAGAAAACTTCCAAACCAAGAATAGAAACTTTCAAGAATGGAAACCTCCAAGAATAGAAACTTTAGTTTCTAATTCTGAACTCTTTGTTCTTCATTTTCATTTCTTCATTTCATAATTCATTCCTAGCCTCCTTTGATCTTCAATTTCGTCCATCCACCTTGCTCCAAGCATAAGCTATCTATTCCATGCCCAAAACTGCTCCAAAAGGCTCCAAAATGCACATGTTTGCATACTTTGTCCTTAAAACCTGAAATTGCAAGAAAATAGCTTAAAATACTAAAATTACTAAGTACTAGCAACGTAAATGCAAGGAAACAAGCTAATTAAGTCGCATAAATATGCTCCTATCATGTCCTATCCGATGTACCAAACACGGCCTAAGGGTACAAGTTAGCAATACAGTTAGTATTTGGTTAGAGTTGTTAGGTTTTCTAGTATAAAAATATAGTGTAATTTTCATTTCTTTAAGTCAATATACAAGTCTCATATTTCTCTATCTAAATTCTCTCTAGTTCATTTTTCTCAATTACTCTTTCCTCTCCATTTCCTCTTCGATTCTCAAATATTTCAATGTAGTTAACTACAGTAGAAAAAAGGTTTATCTCGCCAGTTGCAACATCTGAATAAGAAAACTTGGTGATATTGAGAATTAATTTGTATAAGGTCACAAATATTTTCACATATGGCGCTCTATCGTAGTGACAAAAGTCAATTATGTATATGCACTTTGGTGCATATTTGATCCCTACCAATTTTTTTTCCCTTAACAACTAACAGTTTAAGCTTTTTTTGTTTTAGGGAGTGTCAACACTAGAGATGAAAATTGTTTCTTCATCTTAGTAGATGATCTATGAAGGATGTACTAAAATATAGATGGTTCAGATTGTGAAAATACATTTCGAAATAGACCCGACAAAATGGATATCAAAATGTGTGTTAAAAAACGTGTTTGTTCCCGAATCCTAAACTCTTTATATCATCATATATGAAAAGGATAAGCATACACCATTATTCTCCTCCCACATGTGTATCCTTGTATGATACTTGTTTCATTTTATTTATTCAATTTGATGATCAAAATAAAAAAGTGTGCACGAACAGCTAAAAAAATGTCTGAAAATCAACTCTCATGTATATCCTAGTCCTTGCTGGCTAATATATAAGTTATATATGTACAGAGCAGCCCAATAATTGTGGTTTGTGAGTGGAACAACACATATGAAAATGTAGCTTTCAAGCATACACATTGTCAAATAAGAAAGATATATGCAAACTCTAATAAGATATTTGTTTTTGTATTTATACATTAATGAATATGAGTTAAACCATGCAAAAGTATTAAAGATCGATGATTATTATAGTATTACAACTGTTGATGCACAAAATCAGTGAGCACTTTAGTACAATAGAAAGTGTTAAGTTTGTGACCTTCACTAGATTGCTCCGATCACTAGTGTGGATAAGTAAGTAAATGGATAGGGACAGGGAAGCAAACACAAGATGTACGTGGTTCACCAAAATTGGCTACGTCCACGGAGTAGAGGAGTTCTCATTAATTGTGAAGGGTTTACACAAGTACATAGGTTCAAGCTTTCCTTTAGTGAGTACTAGTGAATGATTTAGTACAAATAACATTAGGAAATATTGTGAGAGAATGATTTCTATTTATAGAAGAGAGTTTCTAGTTTCATTCTGACATTGACACATGTCGTGTTGTGATTGGCTTCTGATGTTGACACGTGTCATGCTATGATTGGCTTCTGATGTCGACACGTGTCGCGCTGTGATTGGCCTCTTGATTGGAGGGAAACTTTTTTGGGTCCTTGACGGTATAACGTTGATCGGTGCTCAGTAGTTTCGGGATTGATCAAGTATGGTACAAACAACAACATATTTACTTTGTGAGTTATTATTGTTATGAATCATTAATAAGCATGTGTAAAATGTGCCGTTAGTACGTGTACATGAGTGAGCTAATTTGTTTTTCATACTACATCTTATGTTTGAAGCCTTGAACACATGACCAACGAAGGCTTAAAGCTTGTTTAAAGCATGCTACAACATAAATGAAATCTATTCCATAACCAGTTAAATATGCTGTAACAAATTAAGAACGGTATAATAAATTAGATAACTAATAACTTAAATTGTAAATGTATTGTTCGTTTGATAACCATTTTGATTTTGATTTAATCTTTGCGTTGGGGATAGAGAGATACGTTGGAGAAATAAGACAGATAAAATAGCGAAGAAAATATAGTTCAACAGATGCAGAAGAATTACACAAATAAATCATGGAAACTAAAAATCAAAAGTCTCTGTAAGTTACTTTCGAAATTTTACTTTTTCTCTCTCATCTTTGTTTCTCCCTCTTCGTCTTACATCTTTCTCCAATATAATATCTTAATATTTTAAAAACAAAAAATAAAAAACAAAATCCGCAAATAAAATGATCATCTAACGAACATACATATTTCAACAATTAGATATATACTAATATATATACGTGTCTTAGGGTGCTGTGATCATATTGTAGCTGGCAAATGACTTTTTTTTGTTGGTCGAAGTCTTCCCTAATGGTAGCACTCAACAACATACACCCCTGAAAACCCTAACCCTTTTAATTTTGTCCCTTTATTTATTTATTTATTTTTTGTCTTTAATCTGTACGTCACCTCGCAACATGTCCCTCTCAATCCATTTTTCTAGTTGATTAGTGGTGATAACAATATTATCTCAAGCTCATCTTAATTATATAGTAAGAACAATCAACTCAAACTACTTGTCACCCCAATTATATGGCCAACATTCTAACCTATATTTATTAAAACTATGAGTAAGATTAAAATCTAATTTTAGTCCCTAATACATTAATAACCTCATTTATTAATTATATTTTGATTTTTTTAATTATTTATCTTTTTCTTTCTAAATTTTAATGTATTAATTTTATTTAATAATAATTTTTATTTTCATTTCATTCATCGTAATATATTTTGTTGTGAACATTTAGATAAACTAATTTTTGTTATACAATATATTTTGATGTACTTTATCTTCTTCATTTAGATATATTTAAATCATCATATATAATACATTTCGGTGCATACACATTTAGGTACACACATTTCGGTATACATACATTTCGATACAAACATTTAGGTACATTAATTCAATATAATACATTTTCGGTACTAACATTTCAGTGCATACATTTCGGTACATACATTTAGGTACATTAATTTAATATTAATACATTTCGGTGCATATATTTAGGTACATACATTTTGGTACTAACATTTAAATATATTAGTTCAATATAATATATTTCGGTACTAACATTTAGGTACATTAATTGAGTCTTTCAAGTTTAAAGAATGTTAAATGAAATTAAAAAATTAAAAAACTCTTTTTTGGTCAAAAAATAAATTAAAATTTGTGTATTAATAAATTTAAATATTTAATGGGAGACACTAAATAAGATGCACATTAATTATTTTGAATTAAGGGTACATTAGGGACTAAAATCAATATTTAATGTAACACCAAATTTTTTTTAAATTTTAATCTTCTTGAGGGATTAAAGTTCAAAAACCCCCCTATATAAATGACTTATGCATATCTTAACTTCAACAAGAATCCCATGAAGCTCACGAGACTATAAAAGTTACCATGGCGACGAAAATTCTCCAAGACATATAATATTTCGCATCTCATAATGACTGATGACGGAATAATAGTTTGTTGGGATCGATATTGAAGGGACGACTTCAAGCCAACAAATCTTTCTACTTTCCAATGGTTGAGAATATTAATTAAAAAATATAATATTAATTAAAAAAATATAACAAAGACAAATCATTTGCCGAATAATGTTAAACTTTCATCGGTATAGTTTTCGTCTGATAATATTGAATTTTGTTGGGAGAAATAACCTTTTTTGTCAAATACCGGGTTCACCTTGGAGAAGTTTTGTCACGAAAAAAACTCTTTTTTGCAGTGTACGTAGCATTGTTTAGTGGGTAATTCTCACTTTACTACTTTGAAGTATCAAAGTTTTTAAACTTTCATAGATAAGTTTTTTTCTTGATTTGTTAAGCTTTCCGTCAGAACCTCCATTAACGCATGACGTGACGTCCATGTGGATAATGACTGAATGCCAAGTGTCAATCTGACCCCACATGGATATTAAAAAATTAAAACAATAAAAAAAATTGAGTTTAAAATGAGAATTACCCTTGTTTAGTTTATAACTAGCTAGCCAATCAAAATTAACACGTATGCAATATGTTACCAAAGTTTACACGATCGACTAGTATTAGAGTGCATGCTGCATAATAACATGCATAATATTGTAGCCTAGTTGATTCTTTTGTGTTTGTTAGGCCATCTTCAATCGAAAGTTGATCAGAGAGCTCATTTTAGCCATCTAATCCTCTAAAAAATTAATATTTTAATGAACAACGCATGACCATATTTCTTACCATCTCCAACCGAGGGCCAAAGGGTTATAGGGCTCGTTTTAGCCCTATCACAAAAAACCATCTCCAATCGAGGACCAAAAGGCCAAGCAAATTAAATGTAATATAATTAAATATTTAAAATAAATTGTGAAAGGAACATGCTTATGAAATGAATTACAACTACACCCATTATAATTGTCCCACATCAACCGTGGGAGATGAATGAGCAAGGAAACATGCTTATAAAATGAACACCCCAACTTCGACCAAATCACCTTTCTCGGCCCAAAAAATCTAAACCCATAATTACATATTTTTTAGAAAATTTTGGCCCACAAAAAAAAAGGTAAATAAAATAAAATAAATATGATGTCATCATGAAGTCAGCATGTGACCCGGCCTGGGGCTGGCTGATTTGGACTAGCCGGTTGGTCCTTTGGCCCTTTTTGTCCAGTGGGGCCTATAAGTCATTTGGCCTGATTCTCAGTTGAAGACGATTTTCGACCTATTTTCGACCCTGTAACTCTTTGAACCATTCGGTTGGAGATGACCTTATTTCCTGCCTTCTGGGTCTGCGTTTTCAGAGCCCTTCATCTGCAGAGCCTGCCTGCTGTCAACAGCAGAGATTCCTCACCGTCTTCACATTAAATTGGCAGAAAACTTCTGAGACACGTCAACCATGCAATTTATTTTACATTTACACTCACAATACACCGACCGCGAAGCATCCATAAGATAAATACACCGACCGTGAAGCATACATGACCTAGCTTCCTAATTACTAAATTCCCTCTCTACCATTAACTTTGACAAACAATAGGAAATCTACAAAAAAAAAAAATTCATCTAAACTTCGAATGAACTGATTCAATCTTGGTGTAGAGGGAAAAGTAAACTGCTTTAACCAGCTTGGTTAAGCCATTTTCCCACTCTACCATTAAATGATTAAGTCGAACCCTTAAACCCTAATTGCTAGGAAACGGTGCCCTAATTAACTACACGTACACACTTGCCTCCTTCTCAACGCTGACACTTGAACATCATGCCATGTTTTCCTGATTTTCTAGCCAAGTGATGAGCTCATGCTATCATCACCTGGTTGTCACGCAATGCTGCTGCTGGCTCCACACAGGCAAGTTGCCGTGGTGGTTGTGGTGGTGGTGGTGGTGATGGACATGGTGGCGGTTCACCAGATTTTGACACCGGCGAAACCCTTCTCCTCCTACCTTCAGCTTCCACTCACCAACACTCTCCTCCTCTTTCTCCTCATTAATTATTTCCTCCTCCTCATCATTAAATTCTTCTTCTTCTTCTTCTTCTTCTTCTTCTATGCGTTCTAATATTGGTTCTTCCTCTTCTTGGATGTGAGGTTCGTGGCTAATAAGATGCAATCTCAACCGTCCACCTTCACGATAAGCTCTCAAAATCTCAGGCCTATAAATCCTCACCTCCGTAAGCTCCAACCTCCCATCTTTCCTCTCAGGCCTCAGATAATACCTTGGATGTCCATTTTGATTCAATGATGAAAGCGGGGGAGGAAACTTCTTGGGCTCCACTCTCCTCTCCCCCATCTTCGTCCATTTCGGCGCTCTCTTAATCGAGTGCCTCATCATCCTCAAACATGCATCCTCCTCGATACCATCTTGATCATTCTCATCAGCTTTCTCATGAACATGGCTAATTCTTTCAACGATCTGATGATCGTCCACCAGCCTCTCGTCCGAGCTTTCAAACCCTAGACTTTCCGTGCACGACATCAAGCCGTCCACACCACCTCCTATGTTGTCTATGAACCCAAACCCACCTGGATCTCTCTTTGTTCCAAATTCAAACACCACCGGTGACAAAGCTGGCGGTGACGAGTCTGATGACGAGGAGGAGAAGGAGGAGGAGGAGGAGGCGGAGGAGGAGGATGATGATGATTTGATGGATGAAGATTCCAAAACAAGGGGTTGGCTTTTCATGCGATCGTTATCGGTTGCGGCGACCAATCCTAGTAACCCTCCTCCTCCTGATCCTGTAGAACTTAAAGGCGAAATGTAACGGTGGCATTTTAATGGGAGCTTTTCATGAGCATCAACGGAGGTGGTTTTTGTTGTTGCTGTTGTGGGGGTAGTATCTGTGGTGAGGCCAAGGATAGAGTGAGGGGTGATCTTTCTACAAAAGCTAATCATCATAATTGGATTTAATACAATTACAAAATTACTAAACTTATTATGTTTATATAGATTCAGTAGAGAAATGAATAGAAGGGTGAGGAGGAGGAGAGGAGAGTTGTAGTACATAGAAGAGAAAGAAGAATGCAAGAAATAGGGTTTGGTTTTGTGATTTGTAAAGGAAAAATGGGGAGGAAGGAGAGGAGTGCGAATGGTATTAGTAATATAGACCTCTCGCCAAAGATAGGGCAACCAAAATGCATGATGAGAGAGAGAGGAGAGAGAGAGTAGTCGGTGGTACTAGTGGGAAGAATGGTGACGAGAGTGCCAGCGTGACAAAAGAAAAAGAAAAAAAAAGAAAGAAAGGAAAAGGTGGTGTTCGAAAAGAAAGAAAGGAAAAGGTGGTGTTCGAAAAGAAAGAAAAATTATATGAGCTGTAGTGAAAGAGAGGAGAGCAAAGTATGCCGGGTCCCACGTAAGATGGCCTCAGACTTCGCTCACATCTGCCATTATCTTCCACCAGTCTTCATAACGCAATCCTCATCACTATCTTCTCTTCACAATTACTTGTTTTTCTCTCCCTTTTCCTTCGTTTTTGGTTATAGTTTATTTCGTTTTATACCAGTGATATTCTGCATTGTCATTGGTATCAATATTCCACCGTAAATTTTGCTTGTAAAAGAGGATCAGCGGGTGGTTTCATCACGGCAATCTACTATTTCAAGGGTTAGGAAAATTCACAGAGGCTTTTTAGCCTCTCCTGATCACCATCGTGTAATTCATCAGTGCCATAAATATTTCATTGTATAATTGAAAATAATCAAAATAGTTTACTTTATTTATTATTTAAATATAATTTTATAATATTTATCTAATTTATAGACTATTTAGTCATTCTTAAAATCTTTACTAATTAATGAAACCCTCTTTATCAATAAAAAAAGGGTGAAAAGACAATTTAATCTTCTATCACAAAAAAAATGATGGGTAATAATGTAATTTCACAGGTCCAAATTTTACTATTTTTTATTGAAACATCATCTACAAGTGATGTTAAAATACCTCTAATATTTAAAAAAAAAAACTAAAAAAAAAACCTCCCACTCCTCTCACGTTCTCTCTCTCCATCTCTCCTTCTCATTTTCTATAAAATATGATAATAAGTGATATACCGTCAATTTCTTTTGTTCATGACTAGCTAACTAACTTTTAAATCAAATTAATTTTTTCAAAATAATTTTTAATAAAGAGAATGAATTATAAGTGTATCATTATTTTACGTAAATGATGTTATGTTACGTTGAGTCAATATATGCAGCCCGTCAAAATTTCCTTTTGTACTTTGACCTTCACACTGCTTTATATATTCGGTTAAGTTTTCATGGTAATAGATCTCTATCAAATTCATCAAATTGGTTTTGATCTTCGACGAAGAAAACATGGTGTGGATGTAAATTTCTTCTTCCTTGATCTTGGACAATTTTGCACCTACAAAACAATTAACACCTTAGGTTAAGGCCAAAAGCCTCACGCGCCCACGATGAATGGGGGGGGACTTTGGCCGAAGAACCTCCGATGCCAAAGTTAGAATTTAGAGAAAAGAGTGTTTAGAGAATTTTGGGATTTTTGCCAAAGTGTTGGAATTGGCTTTTTGGTGAGAATGAGAATATATTTATAGGGATAGGAGGTGGCTAGGGTTTTTTGGGTTTAATTTAGGTTTAATTAGGAGTTACCAAATAATTAGCCAATAACTCCCTAATTAACTTGGCTAATTATTTGTCATACAAAGGAAAAAAGGTAGAAGGAAAGGCTGACTTCTTTTGGGGATGAAAGTTAACCGGCCTTTTTGTGGGAATTAGGGTAAAGTGAATGGTCTAAATGCTAATTAAGGGAATAATTAGCTAATTAACCCATTAATTAGCTATTTATCATTATTTTAGAAGGAATGTTTTAGGAATTATGGAATAAGTATAGTATTTAGCTAATTGATTAGCTAAATAATGAAATAGGAAATATATGAATAAATTAAGTTTTAAGTTGATACCTATTTTGGGCACTTTTGACTTGGTTGAGGGATAATTGCCCCTGCTTGGGCGTAGAAATCCCGGTATGCCACAAGGGTAGTTTTGTCTTCTTTTGTCAAAAATCTACGTGTTGCCTTGTGAATATTTTTGGCTCCACACATGGTTTTGATGAAAATCCAATAACGCAATAAGGGGGTTTTTGGATCTAGGTCCAAAAACATAGGTAATTTTTAGGACTGAGTTCAGTTATTCAATTACATATTTTGATATCAATTTTGCCCCTAGATAAAAATATTTAATTTCTTTAAATTTTTTATCATTTATTCAGTTTTTAAATTTTGAATATTTAAATACTCAAACTAAAATATTATCTAGTAACTATGTGACAACCCGTCTCTAATTTTAAGTTTTATAAATTTTAAATTAGTGATTTTACGAAAATGCCCCCTTGAGGCAAAGATTTTGACCTTTGTTAACCTCGGTTAGAGAGACGTAGGACTCATTCTTTGGGCGTATTTGCGTAGTACTCGATGGTACGAACGTATAAGCGAAAGCCGGTTGCGAGTCCAGATTATAACAGTATAGTTACAGACGTTTGAATTTGGTTAGTTATATAAATTGAACTCCCATCTTGTGGGAATGAAGCCAATTAGCTTTCAGCAAGGAAATAAAAAACCAATCAGAAATGAGGGGGAAAAAGAAAGGACCAATTGGAAGAGGAGAGAGAAACTATTTCCCTTCCCTTTCAACCCGTGCACACCCAAACCGCTGGTGACCCAAGTTGTTTACGGTCGATATCCACCATTTTTCCGTTGATTCATCCACATCCAACACCTGCAACTTCTTCCACAACCTCCCAACTACCATCTCCACCCATATTTGAGGATTTTTAGGTCCTAACCCGCGAGGAACTTCACCGGAACACCGGAGGTGCTTGACGACGATTCTTCCCTTTCGGAGAGTTTCACCACCCACCATCACCCTAATCAACTTTTCTTAGACCCAGGAACAAGACCCAACCAGTGATAGGGGCATTGGAACACCGGAGAAGTTGAATCAATGAACACCCATTCTAGGGTTTCCGATAGATTCGTGGCGATTTGAAGCTTTTTCCGGCCAAATTGGACTTGGCCACAGGCGACGATGGTTCGTGACGCCTCAATATTTGTGCTAGGAAATTGTAGCGCAGACTTCAGGTGAGTGGGTCTTTCCTTTTTTATAGTGTATATATATGATTGATAGTTCCACAAATGCTTTTAAATTGATTTATGCATTTTATGCCAAGTCATATATATATATATATATATTTTTTTTTAAATACTATGATATGGTTGAGTTTTAGATTGCATCAGGGCATATCTATATGCATATTACCTACATATAATTGTTGTGAATGCTTGAAAGTGCTAAGGTGAATGCGAGACGCACAGGTAAGTTCAAGTGAGTTTATGATGTTATTTGAAATGATTGAGTTATGGCATGACTATGTTTATATAATAGGCAACTCCGACACTGTCGTACAGGTTGTGATAATAGGCAGGCAACTCCGACACTGTCATACAGGTTGCGATAATAGGCAACTTCGACACTGTCGTACAGGTTGCGATAATAGGCAGGCAACTCCGACATTATTGTACAGGTCGCAACTCCGACACTGTCGTACATGTTGCAATAAAAGGCAGGCAACTCCGACACTGTTGTACAGGTTGCCTATGACCCGTACAGGTTGCATTAGGCAACTCCGACTAGTGTGTTATTGTGGATTGATTTATGAGTCATACTAGTTGCCTTAGGCAACTCCGACTCGTGTGTCAGCATAGATTGATGAGCACCTGATTTTATTATGCCGCTGCTGATTAGTAGTGATTTGAAATATTTCTGGATTTACTGTCGATTTGCATTTGATTTCATACTTATACGTAGTATGATTTTCTGAAAACTAAACAGGTTTTACAGCGAGGGGTTATAACGTTTTCAAAAGGTTTTTACTAAAACTTTATTTTCAGGCCCACTAACCCTTGTTTTTCGCCTCTCCAGGTTTTAATAGCTAAGCTTTCTCATCAACAAGGATTCATGGCAAATCTTGGTATTGGAGATTACCTTCGATGATATGATTCTCAATCCACTCTACTGTACTTTACTTATGCTCTGACATCACGTGTGAAATGAGTTCATTCCCACTCACATCGCACTCTTGCATTTATGCACTTTTACGTTTAAATTCATTCACATTTTCCACATCACTACACTTTATGGCTTCGTCACCTTCCAGGTATCGGCCAACACAGCTCGATTCGGAGTCTTAGTGGACAATTCGGGTCAAGATGTGTCAAACTACCAATTATTTATGAAGAAAACAAAACCGATATAATCTAGCAACTACCTATTGTATAGGAAGAAAGATGCTTTATACCTGCAAAGCAGATATAATCTACCTACAAAACAAAAAATAAACTACCTCTTGTATTGGAAGAAAAAATTTGGGAACCTACAAGATAGAACATATAAATATAAATATGATATAATATACCTCCATTAGAGGATCAAATTTGGAGGGAAGAACACAAAAATATCACCCATGAAATGAAGAGACCAAAAAGTGGAGGATTGATTCCATGATCTAACAGAGGGAATTGTGTGGAAGAAGGAAAGGAGGGATGAAACAGACTGGGGGTTGAGGTGATTATATGGCTATAACTAATATTACAATTAAGGGATTAGTTAAACCACAAATAATCTCATAATTAAGAAATTTTGTGTATTTACTACAATTCGTAAGCCTAAGGAGTACATATGGTCTAAACCACAAATAAGCATATGTGGAATCTCAATTATTGGACCTATTTCAATGAAGTGGACTAATCTTACTTATGGCTCAAATTATTGGATCTATATCAAGTTATCCCATAAATAAAAGATGTTATTGAAATTTTATGTCCTGAAAATACATAATACTAATAAAAAAATAAATGCGTTGAAATAATGTGAATAGGTTTTTTTTCTTCATAAAAGTGTCATGAGGGAGAGAAAAAGAAAGAAAGAATTAAACTTAAGATCTTCTGATGTATAGTTAAATGATTTTTAACTGCTTAAACTAAAAGCGTTTTTCCATATGCATTATGACTTGTGTAGTGCTATTCCTACATCTGTTTTTACTATTTCCGCACTCTTGCTATTTTTTGTCATTGATTTTCTTCAATTCATTTGATCCGATAGTCAAAAATTGAGATAAATATGTAATAAGTAAAAATAAGGGTCACCCTTCCAACTTAAGCAGAAGCACTAACTTATGTATTTGTAAAAGGTAAGCTATTGATATTGGCATTTGGCAAGTACAATTTCCACCGAAGGGAAACATTGGTGCGACATGAAAATCTTAAAAGGTATGCAAATATCCCAAATATCTAGGCATCCAAAAAGGTACTAAATTGAAAAAAAATAAAAAAAACTAATAAAAAAAAGCTTGAAAACTTTAAGTTTTAACGATAATGACAAAATAAAGGATAAAATAAATAGTACTAGAATTGATTTTTTAGTGTAAAAATATAGTTTTTCGTTAAAGTGAACAGTACCGAGAGCTTTTCGTTAAAGTTCAAAAAAAAATATCCTAGTAATTTGATAGGGACTTTTCCTTTAAAAAAGAAGTTTTGAAGAAAGAGCAACGAGATAAAATTGTACTTTTTTTGTGAGTCTAGGTTATTAGTTGCTTTTTTATGAGCTATAAGACCATATTTAACCGAACGAGGGTCAGATGGCTCGTTTTAGTCTTCTGGCTCTTAAAGATATTAATATTTTAATGAACAGTACATGGTCATATTTGCCTCCATCTCCAACCGAGGGCCAAAAGGCTAAGGGCTCGTTTTAGCTTTGTCACAAAAAACCATCTTCAACTGAGGACCAAAGGGCTATAGTATGGAATGTGAAGAATTGAAATAAAATAAGGTAAGCCAGCATGAAATTGTGAAAAATATGTGAGAAATGGTGTAGGAAAAAAAATTAGAAATTAAAAAGAAAAAACGTCCAAAAAAAAGAGGTTGCTGGGCATAAAAACAAAAAGTGGGCTGGGAACATAAAAAAAAAACTAAGCCCTAAACCCTAAAGTGGGCTGGGCAATGGAAAAGAACAAAAAAAAAAAAAGAAAAAGAAATTAGGCTAGCTAGTGGGCTGGTTGGTTGAAAGTGGTCAGCCAGTTGGCCTTTTCAGATTTCGTGGAACCCACTAGCAATCGGTTAGAAACGGTTTTCGGGCTATTTTCGACCATCTGGACCTTTCGGTTGGAGATGGTCTAAGCGACGTGATTGTGACTCACGTTTTAATTAGGAAGTAAAAAAGAATTGGTTAATTATCTGAGATATAGATATCTTATAGACCACTAGAAAATGTGCCCACGTTTTGATGCTGGCGTGTATTAGCTGCAACAAGTATGACTAGTTTTCACACAAAGCAACTAAAAAAATGTTGTAGCAACCAAGAATCAATGAACAATTGGGACATCTTACTCATATGTGAGCCTTAATCTCTATTTCAAATCCCTATTGAAACAAAAGTCCTATTTCTTCTTCAAATTGAATCGACATCATTGATCAGGCAATTAAACATTCCTTCTGACAAATAATTAACCCAAGAGTTGAGCAGATATATAGAGATTGGGAAAAGGGGAAGTAATTATACTATATAATTTAATAAAGGGAACTTTAACGAAAAGTACCCGGTACTGTTTACTTTAACGAAAAACCACATTTTTATACTAAAAAGTCAATCCTGGTACTATTCATTTTACCCTTTATTTTGTCCTTATCATTAAAACTCAAAGTTTTCAAGCCCTTTTCATTAGTTTTCCTTTTAATAAAAGTAAAGGTCACCTCAACTGTTCGAATTAAACTATATATCTAATTTATCAGAAAACTTTGTAAAATTGACAGTTTACCTGATATAAGTACTTAATTTTCCTATTTAAAACAGTTTACCCATTCTTGATATGTAAAATATAGCTTAAGCTTAATTTATTAACAGCTTAATGCAGTTCAAAAGTATTTTATGTTGCGGCGAGAAGGAGAAGCTACAGCCAACCCGCCTTGACTTTTTAATGTTGTGGTGAGAATGAGAAGCTACAACCAACCGGCCTTTACTTTTTACTTTTTCCAGATGCATATGTACAGTTTACCTGCACCCTCATACCATGTGTCTTGAGCTATTATCTATTCTCTACTTGCAGTATTTTCCCTCATCTGCACGAGAACCTCTACTGCAAACGATTTCATCTGTTACCAGTTAATGAAGATGTCTTCTGCACGAATGGACTACAAAGAGGGAGAAAAAAACAGTATTTGTAAAACACATTATACTCAAAATCATCACACTAAAGATATTTTCAAACAAATCACAATCCATCACACAAAGTGCATCCAACTCCAAGACAAGACTAAGCAAACACACAAAATATATAAAAACCCAAGACAAGTAGAAGTGTAACAATATTATTACGCATCTGTATTTACACTCACGGATAACTAATATAAGAATGAAAATTCACATTCCAACGTGTTATCCAATCACCAATTTCAAATAAAAAAAAACCAAATAAATTTATATCAGTACGCATCAAACCCACCAAACCCAAAATCAAAAGAAGGTGATCAAATGTTTGATTTTGCTAAATATTACAAAATACAATAAATAAAAATATGTACAAATCAGCATGCATACCTTGTAGCGGTGCAGGGAACAGTAGCGTGAGTTGCATCGAGGGCATGTGAACTGGGAAAATTGCTATTGGCAGCTGCAATTGACAAAAACAAAAGCAAACAAACAAAAATTGAATAAAACAAATTATCAAGCTTTGTTGATGAAAGAGAGGTAGGGTTGGAGAAGAACATACACGCGGCTATGAGCACTAGACAAAAGATTTCAAAATGATTTCTTGGCTTTTCAATCAGGACATGCACGAATATAAGGGGAGTTTACTTACCTTGTGAATAAGGACATGCAGACGCAGGATGGACGAAGGACAGCAAATCCCGCATACACGAACCTAACTTGCCACTGTTCGCCACCCCCACCCCTCCCTCTCTCTTTCTCTCCTTGCAGTCCCGACGATTTCTCTCACTGTCACCCTCCCACTCCCGAATCGAATATCCGCACAAAATCTCTCTCTCTCTCTCTCTCTCTCTCTCTCTCTCTCTCGGTTTCTCTCAATGTCACCCTCCTACTCCCGAATCGAAAGATCCGCACGAAATCTCTCTCTATCGCTCTCTACCTCTGCAAGTGGCATGGCCACTGTCCCTCTCCGTCTGCCCTCACCGTCAATCCCAATCCCAAAATTAAGATGACAAAAGTGCCCTGCAACCCTTTAATTCTAGCCGTGTGATCCTAACCCTAGGTGAATATTTCCGTCATTTGAACACCCAAAGGGCCGGCCTCATTAACAATTCGGTCTCAAACACTGTTCATTTGATCTTGGAAACCCTTGTTTAGACTAAAGTAAAATAATGATCGGTCGATTCGGAATTTCGAAGAGGGATTTGGATCCTCTCGTGAGCAGGGTCTGAATCCTCCTGACCAGATAACATGGATAGTTGAATTTTTAGACTAAAGTAAAATAATGATCGGTCGATTCGGAATTTCGAAGAGGGATTTGGATCCTCTCGTGAGCAGGGTCTGAATCCTCCTGACCAGATAACATGGATAGTTGAATTTTGATTCAACGGTTACAATTATTATAACTTTTAAAGAAATCATTTGTTTTTAACCGTTGAATCAAATTTGAACGGTCATTGTTATTTGATCAGGAAGATTCAGACCTCCTGCTCAAAGGATCCAAACCCTTCAAAGAGGATCCACGTACAGTACTTAAGATATTATTGTACTACTACCACATCAGGAAGCAAAGCCGTAGATTTTACACTACTTTTCCTCCTTAGATGTTAAAGTTATTTAACATATCTGGCGCTTCATCATCGACCATCCAGACAAAAAACCTTTATTGTTGGTTGCAATCAAGATATAAAATATCGATGATATTGAAAATATCGGTAATTTAAAAACATGAAAATTTCGATGGAAATATCGGGATATTATCGATATCGATAAAAATTGAATAAAAACCACGGAAATTGTGAGAAAAACTTGGAAATTTTTATTGAAACTTTGCAGGATGTTTATTTAATCAATTATCTATTAGTTTATCACAAAAAATTAGAAGGAAATGCATTGCATGATAGATATAACTGATTTAAGTTGATTATATAGCGAGTTGACAAATATTGTGAGTGTAGAAAATATGTAGTAATTAATGAAAGAAGTTTAAACACACCATAATCATTTATATACAATGAATTAATACAATATTTTACACTTTATACATTGTATGGTAAGATACATAAGTGACTTAGGGCTGGTTTGATATTGCTGTGCTTTGAAAAAAAGCTGCTGTGAGAATAAGCGGCTGTGCTGTGAGAATAAGCGGCTGTGAAATAAATCAGCAGAGTGTTTGGTAAACTTTTTTGTAAAAGTGCTTTTGAAAAAAAAAAGCAGTCTAATAGTAGGTCTTTTCATTAAAGAAGCACTGTAGCTCCGTGTGCTTTGAAAAAAAGCCAGTTTTCCAAAGCTGCAAATAACAGCTTCAGCTTTTTTCTTTGATTTCAGCTTATTCTCACAGCAGCTTCCAAAATAAGCCCTTTTTTTTCAGTTTACCAAACACCTAAAACCCTCACAGCTTTTTTTCATAGGTGCTTTTTTTTAAGCACCTCACTCCCAAACTAGGTCTTAGCAATGTCTAAAATATCAATGATATCGTAAATATCGGTAGTCCAAAAAAATATCGGTAGTCTAAAAATATAGAAATTTCGATAGAAATATCGGGATATTATAAATATTTTAGACCATGGTTGCAGTGAATGTGGAACTATTCGAGTTCGTAGGGTTGTAAAGGAGTATATCAGTCAAATTACCCACTGCTCTAGCTCATTTGTTAATTTCTTTGGAGTTCAAGCTAGGTTTGGCATGCTTTTTATACGAGCTCACATAAAAAGCTAAAGTACAAAATCAAGCTCAAGCTATTTTTGAGCTATTTAGTATATACCAAGGGTGGGTGTGGGTTGGTTTGGTTGGTTTGGAGCCAAAATCGAAACCAAACCAACTTAGTTGGTTGAGTTAAAATTGCAGATCGAAACCAACCAAGCTAGTTCTAAAACAGATGAAGTTGGTTAACTGATAGTCGTAGGTTGATTTGGGTTGGTTTTCGATTTGTATAAAGACGAAAATACATAAAATCTCTCTCAAAAGCTACAAAACATAGCAACAATAATAGTGATTGTTCAAAGGAAAACACAAATGAAGCAGCCCAATGAGAGACCAAAGCAGTGCCTTCTCCAAATGGTGCTCCATGTTATTCTCCAAATGGACTCTTAAACTAATCAGGTTTTGTTTTCATGTGATGAAAACACTGTAAATTGTAAATAATTAACCATTTATATTACTACACATATTAATTATGATTAAAAACTAAAATTAAATGTATGTGGGTTAGTTCAGTTAATTGCACCCTAAGAATTTTGGAAACTGATTGCCAAACCGATTATGGTCAGTACGGTTTGGTTTTACCACCGAAAAGGGTAAATTACATAGTATCCCCTTAGGTTTGAGGTCTATTGCAATCTTATACAACATCTTTAAAACATTTCACTTTCATACCTCAAGTACTATTTTATTTCAATTTCATACAACCGTTACATTTTCCATCCATGGAACTGTTAAATGCTGACGTGGCTGCCACATATATGTCATGTGGCAAATAAAATAATTTTTTAAATTTTTTTTTAAAAACCTATCTGCCACTTTTTTTTTCTCTTTCTTCTTCTTCTTCTTCTGGGTTCGGTCCATTTTTTTTTTTCTTCTTCTTCTTCTTCTTCCTCCTTATTCTTCTGGGTTGCAGGGGTTTCGATCATTCTTTTTTTTTTTTCTTCTTCTTTTTCCTCCTTCTGGTTCGGTCCCTTCCCTTTTTTTTTTCTGCTTCTTCTTCCTCATCCTCCTCCTCTTTCTTCTTCTCTTCCTCCTCTTTCTTCTTCTCTTCTGGGTTCGGTCCCTTTCTTTTTTTTCTTCTTCTTCTTCTTCCTCCTCCTCCTCTTCCTTCTTCTCTTCTTCTTCCTTCTCCTTCTTCTTCTGGGTTGGTCCCTTTCTTTTTTTTTTTTCTTCTTCTTCTTCTTCTTCTTCCTCCTCCTCCTCTTTCTTCTTCTCTTCTTCTTCTTCTGGGTTGCAGGGGTTCGATCCCTTTTTTTTCCTTCCAATTTTAGGTTTTTTTAAAAAAAAATTAAAAAATTATTTTATTTGCCACGTGGCAGACATTTGGCAGCCACATGGCATATATGTGGCAGCCACGTCAGCATTTAACAGATACATGGATGAAAAATGTAACGGTTGTATGAAATTGAAATAAAATAGTACTTGAGGTATGAAAGTGAAATGTTTTAAAGATGTTGTATAAGATTGCAAATAGACCTCAAACCTGAGGGGCTACTATGTAATTTACCCCACCGAAAATTAGAAGAAATAAAAAAACCAAACCAAGTTGCCAGTGTGGTTCGGCCAGTTCACTCGGTTTTTATTTATTTATTTTATTTAAATGCCCAACCATAGTAGATATGTTGGTTCAGTCTAAATAAGAAACAGTCTATAACAAATATGTTAGATATTCAGATATACAGATCATTGGTACACGCCTAACAACACGCTTAACAACACTGATATTGTCATAATTTAACCAATATTGCTAAGTGTTGGATTTATTACAAAATGCCTCTATTTTATTAGGAGTGAAACAATACACATATATTGCCAAAGTGTGCAATGGGTCAGCCCATTTAAGATGGTCCATGCTCGTTATAGCCCGATCAATTAGCAAGAGGGTCCAGCCGACCTAATCACCGTTGATCTTATATACCATTCTCACATATTCTTATAGGCTAGTGGTAGAGAGACTACTTTTAGGGCACGTTTGTTTGACAGGATTAGCAAGGCTTGGACTGGACTAGACTATAGTCCTGTGTTTGGTGTGCAACCGGATTAGCTTTAATGGGCTTAGGTGGGACTCGCTCGGATTACACGCCTCCTTACGAGTTCTTAACGAAGAACCCCAATTTTGGGCGGACTCGTAAGCACGGAGAGAAAACCGCGAGGATCCCCAACGTCCTGCTCGTCCTCATCTTTGCGAGGATCCCCAACGTCCCTCGTCCTGCTTGTCGCTCGTCGTCGATCTTGCCCTGCTTCCTCGTCATCGTCCTCCTCACCCTCATCGACGAAAGCTTCTCGTTGGTGCCCAAGTTGAGGTAATGCCGCCTTCTTCCAGCTTTTTTGTTTCTGGGTTTTTGAGAAATTCGGGTTTTTGGGCTGTGATCCTCGTCTATTTTGGGGATTTTTTTTTTTGGATTTTTTTTATGGGTCAATTCGAATTTTTTGATAGTTTATGAAGTCAATTAAGCTGATTGTTGAATGTTTTGGACTCGAAGAGGCATGCATGGTAGCCGATTGCACTGGTTTTTGGTAAAATGTTTTTTTTCTTTAATTTGCTGCAACATTCACTACTTTGCTGGCGGCCGTCGTAAACACCCCAGGCGCCGCCGCTGGTTTTCTGTTAAATGGGTTTTTTTCTTTATTTGAGTTATTTTTGTTTTTGTGAGGAAGAAGATTGGTAGATGATGTGGTCCAATCTGGGAACCAATGCATTTTCTTAAACGGCTGAGATTGAAAGACTGATTTGGCCTGGTAGAGCATCCAAGTAAAAATTTGGGTGTGTAATCTGTGTGTGTGCATCTCTGTGTGTGTGTGTGTGTAATCTGTGTGTGTAATATGTGTGTGTGTGTATGTAATTTGTGTGTGTGTGTGTGTAATCTGTGTGTATGTAATCTCTCTCTCTCTCTGTGTAATCTGTGTGTGTGTGTGTGTGTAATCTTTGTGTGTGTGTGTGTGTGTGTATGTATGTAATCTCTCTCTCTCTCTGTGTAATCTCTGTGTGTGTGTGTGTGTAATCTTTGTGTGTGTAAGTGTAATATGTGTGTGTGTGTGTGTGTGTATGTAATATGTGTGTGTGTAAGTGTAATATGTGTGTGTGTGTGTTTGTGTAGTGTGTGTGTGTATTGTGTGTGTGGGTGTGTGTGTTTGTGTATTGTGTCCGTGTGTGTGTGTGTGTGTGTGTGTATTGTGTGTGTGTGTGTGTATTGTGTGTGTGTGTGTGTGTGTGTGTGTGTGTTTGTGTATTGTGGCTGTGTGTGTGTGTGTGTGTGTGTATTGTGTGTGTGTGTGTGTGTTTGTGTAGTGTGTGTGTGTATTGTGTGTAAGTTTGAACCAACTTAAGTTGTACAATTTGATTATGTATGCAGTGTATGTATGTATGCAGGGTGTGTGAGAGTGTGTATGTCCGTGTGAGTGCAGTGTGTGCATCTGACCAGTGTGTGTGTGTGTGTATGTATGCCGTGTGTGTGTGTGTGTATGTATGCAGTGTGTGTGTGTGTATGTATGCAGTGTGTGTGTGTATGTATGTATGTATGCAGGGTGTGTGTGAGTGTATGTCCGTGTGTGAGAGTGTGTATGTCCGTGTGAGTATGTGTGTGAGTGTGTATGCAATGTGTGTGTGTGTATGCAGTGTGTGTGTGTGTGTGTGTGTATGTATGTATCCCGTGTGTGTATGTGTGTGTATGTATGCAATGTATTGTGTGTGTGTATGTATGCAGTGTGTGTGTGTGTGTGTGTGTGTGTGTGTGTGTGTGTGTGTGTATGTAATGTGTGTGTGTGTGTGTGTGTATGTATGTGTGTGTGTGTGTGTGTGTATGTATGCAGTGTGTGTGTGTGTGTGTGTGTGTGTGTGTGTATGTATGCCGTGTGTGTGTGTGTGTATGTATGCAGTGTGTGTGTGTGTGTGTGTGTGTGTATGTATGTATGTATGCAATGTGTGTGTGTGTGTGTGTGTGTGCCGTGTGTGTGTGTGTGTATGTATGCAGTGTGTGTGTATGTGTGTGTGTGTGTATGTATGTATGCAATGTGTGTGTGTGTGTGTGTATGTATGCAGTGTGTGTGTGTGTGTGTGTGTGTGTGCAGGGCAATCAAACCGGAACTCAAGAAAGTGTTCGTCCAAAGGCTTTTAAGCGACAACGCAAGCGGTTGAGGATTTTGGCTAATGTTAACATGGATGTATTTTATTAATGTTAACATGGATGTATTTTATTAATGTTAACATGGATGTATTTTATTAATCATACAATCTTATGTTATGGCTTATAACTTAGCTTTGCACTAGTATTTTGGCTTATGTTAACTAGCCATTTTGTAAATTATGGAGATCTATTTTGGCTAATGTTAACTAATGTTAACTAAGATTTTCTAAATTATGGAGATCTTCTTATGTACTTGTATTTGTTGAAGTTGCATGTATTGGGCACTATTATTTTTCTTCTGTTGGGTGATAGAGTTTAAACCAAGCTACATTTGCAAATTAAACCCAATTCTATTAGTAGGTAATAGAAACAAAACAATTGTCAATTTTTTTTAAGATTCATAATATACATGGCAAAAATATGCTCCAATTAACCCATATCATGAGATTTGTAGCATTACTTTATTACACAATGGCAAAAATTTGTAGTCCTAGTCTAAGCAAACACAAATCTGGTGAACAGTACTGTTTTTCTTATCCTGCTTCTTAGTCCGACATTACACCAAACGCTTCACTAAATTAGTCCAGCTTAGTCCAGTCTAAGCCAGTCCAGCTTAGTCCCGGCAGCTAGTCCAATCCGAGACAGTCCGGCGCAACAAACGCACCCTTATAGATTATATTTATAAATTAAATGATTTGTCATCAATATGAATGAACACGTTTATTAACGTTTAAGTAAAAATTAAAATCCAATCATCAACTTTCATGTTATTTAGTTTACAAAATTTTATCCGCAATTTAATCTTACTAGCATTACCTATTCTCATATGGCTCTACAACTTAAACCTGCGTGAGATAATATAAGCAAGCACATGCTAGAATTATAAAATAATGTAATGGTAGGGCTTCAATAACCAAGATGGCCTAATTTGCTCAGTAATGAGTACTCAAAAGTAGTGCTGGGAGTCCTTAAATAGAGACTTCTATTGAAGATTCTCAGTTGCATTTTGTTCACCACCCTCAAATGGTGGTAATACTCAACACCTTATTTATCACGTTGAATAAGTTTAAATTTTTAAATTTGTATACATCCAGTTTACAGACCATTAATCAATAATTTTCATCAGATAATTAGTATACTTATTAATCCATATATTTTAGTAGTTGAAAAACAATGAACTCGATTCATTTCTTGCATTGAAATCAATAACGCACTGAAAGCAATTCATTCATTTATCTTGGAAATCCAATGAGTCAGTCGTTCACACTCTCCTACCCTTCCACCTTCATCCAATTGAATTCACATGAAAATAAACCTATCGGTCAAATCCTATATAAACACAATCTCTTCTATGCATTTTCCACGAAATTTTCAGTTGCTAAGAAAAGAGAGGAAAATAACTTTAGCTAGAATCAATGGCTTCTTTAACCTCTTCCCTCACTTTCGTTCCCTCTGTGAAACTTGCAAACCCTAAGCTATGCTCCTGTGCTCATCATTCACCTACCAATTATTCTAAGTCATTGAAGCTTCAAAACCCACTTGATATAAAACTCCACACTTCCTACTCACAATTGAACAACTTCTCCGTGCCAAAAACGTTCTCGTTCACTTGCAAAACCCAAGCAAGCCCATCAGCCGACACTGATCAAAGACCTGCCTCCGAAGTTCCACAAGTGCTTCATGTGTACGAGCTCAATGAGCTAGACCGTGGCAGCCCGGCCTACCTAAGTTTGAGCGGGAAAGAAGTCCACAGCCTTGGCGATGTTGTCCTTTTCATGAACAAATTGTACACCGGGGACTTGCAAAAACGCATTGGAATCACAACGGGGATAACCCTATTGATCCAACACTATCCGGAGAAGATCAATAGTGGAGATCGATACGAGGGTATCTACAGCTTCAACTTTGGAGACTATGGTCACATTTCTGTGCAGGGAGCTTATTTAACTTATGAGGATTCGTATTTGGCCGTGACAGGAGGGTCTGGAATTTTCAAAGGTGTGTATGGTCAAGTGAAGTTGCAGCAGCTTGTGTACCCTTTTAAAATTTTCTACACATTCTATCTCAAGGGTATAAAGAATTTACCTGAAGAGCTTCTTGGGAAGCATGTGGAGCCTAACCCTGAGGTGGAGGGCAGTCCAGCTGCCAAGGCTCTTGAGCCTCATGCCACCATTGCTGGTTTTACTAATTGAATGATTATGTTTACTATTTTATTTTTGTTTTGTTTTGTTTTGGAGATGATGTTTTGGCTAGGTTGTTACTAGCTATGCTGAAATGGAATGTTTTTCTTGAAGATTTCTTGTACTTTTGATTTTTGTCTCGACTACCAACCGCTTGAATCTATATTTGTTCATGTAACAATTAACATATATCACTGTTGTTTCCTTATGTTTGGGCGAATTTCATCGAATTTAACTACACAAATCACAAGATATGAAAGAGAAGCTTGTAAATATTATATGCAATTCATTGTGAAAATTAATTTTAATGAATTCTTAGAAAATCCTACGTGAAAGAATTTGTACTTAATTTGTAGTAATTTAGACCATCGGTGGGTTTTGGGTCTGATGACTGCTTTGGCTTTTTATGTTTGACTGATAAGTTTGTTACTAATTTATATTAATTAAACTTAAAACATCGGTTTATATAAAACTTAGACAGGGTGGAAACGAGGGTGAAAAACCTGTACAAAACAAAACCAACAGATATAAGATATGATGCACACAAATTCAAACAACATGATAACCCCTTTTCCTTGCTCATGTGTTTGAGTGACCATCCTAGAAAAGTGTTAAAACGGAATTCAAAATGCGCGCTTAAGGCATTGGTTAGTAGGCTTGTTCTTTTCGTTTTTAAAGAAACCTCGACAATACAAGGAAAATTTATTAACCATAATGCAGAAAGATACAAAATAACTTCCAAACCTAATACAACACAAGTTATAAATCAAAATGTGAAACCATATTTTAATTGTTGGATCTTACCCTGGCACAACATGGAGTCCAGCTGCTTGCTCCTCATAAACATTTCAACGTCTCCACCTTTGATTTATGTGAACATGTCTTCGATGAGGACCAATTCTTTCTTCAAGCTGAGGGAATATCCTCACAAGGATTTTATACGTAGACCTGTAATACCATTTACTCCATCTCTTGAAGAACACAAGTGACCCAAACTGCAAAGCCAAATACAAATCCAATTTCGACGCTAATAAGATCCCAATCAATCTCATCGGTAGAATTTGGATGGCTTCCATTTAATGTTGGTGGCGGTGACAATCTTGCTTTACTATCCACCATCAGCGGAGGCCCCCATAATCCTTTATTCCCTGTAAATGAGTCTCTTGGAAATGTTAAAATTTGAGTACCAGCTGGGATCTTGCCGACAAGTTGATTATTCGAGAGATTCAGGAATGCAAGGAAATTAAGCTTTGCCAGCTGTTGTGGGATTTGCCCGCTCAACTTGTTCTGTGACAAGTCCAAGGACTCGAGTTGTCGCATGTTACCAAATGATGATGGGATTTCACCTGTGAAAGCGTTACTCGACAAGTTGAGAAAATATAAAGATTTCAAAGCTCCCATTTCCTTGGGAATTGACCCACTGAAATTGTTGCATGAGAAGTCAATCAAGGTCAAGACGGATAGAATCTTTGCCAGATCCATCTTTAAACCTTTGCTTGTAATCGTTATAGTAGGCTCATACGAAAATACAACCGCTCTTTTACAAGGGGTTCCTCCTCTAATACGTGCAGAACCCAGTCCGTTACAAGAGGGACGGTTAGAAACATTGACTGTCGACAAGAAGCCAATATCTGTGTTATCCTTCATTGCTTGCCATGTTGTCAAAGAGAATCCTGGTACTTCACCATTGAAATTGTTGTAAGCTAAGTCTAGGATTTGAAGAACCGGCCAGGTGACATTGGTCTTCACTAGTGGACATCCAATGCCTCCATAGAAATTGTTGGACCGCAAAGCAAGAACGATCAAGGTGGAGATGGTCTTCAACAAGCATGGGAAGGTGTCTGTTATCTGATTTTCTTCAAGGTTTAAAAACATTAACCTTTTGCACCTGGCTAGAGACCTTGGAAATTGACCTTCAATCTGATTTTGGCTGAGGTCTAGAGCTTCAAATGACTCACAGTTTTCAGGAAATTCAAGATTAGAAATCATTCCAGTAATGTTGTTTTTCCTGACGTTAAGTGTCATGAGTGTGCTCATTGCAGCCAAGCACTGAGGAATCTCACCACTCAGAGAATTACTGGACAAATCAAGAGCGCAAAGATGACTTGCATTGCATATTGATACTGGAATACTAGAACTGAAATGATTGTTCGAGTAATCTAGATATTCGACATATGGTGGGACAACTGAAATTGGCCCCTTAAGCTGGTTTGAATGAAGGTCAAGCTTAGACACCTGAGATGTGGAGTTGATGAAAGGACCTTCGAGACTTTCCAAGGCATTATAAGAAACATTTAGGTAATCAAGATGGTCGAGCTTCCATATCCAATTGGGTAGGTGGCCTTGAATTTGGTTTTCTGAAAGGTCCAAGTTTCTTAAATAGGTTTGATTTCTCAAGAAAACTGGGAATGTTCTCAACTTGTTGGAAACTAAACTGAAATTAGTAAGTTGAGGAAATGAAGAGTATGAGGAATTGCCGCCATTGTATAAAACCAGCAAGCTATTGTGCGAAAGATCAATTATCCTCAGCTTTGGCAGCTGCTGAGGACCGTTAAAAGGAAAGGCACTGAAATTGTTTGAAGAAAGAAAGAGCTCCCAAAGCCCTCGAAAATTAAAGATAGACACGGGAACTGGCCCTTCCAAATAGTTGAAACTCAAATCAATGTTAGAAATTAAACTAGAAGAGACGTTAAAAAATTCAGGGAGTTGCCCAGAGAGATTATTATGGGAAAGTACCAAGCCCGGCAACAAGGGAAGAGAAAACAGAGACGACGGAATGCTCCCCACCAGTTGATTGTCGTACAAAGAGAGATGTACCAGATTAATAAGGTTTTCCCAGTGAATAGAACTAATTGGACCATTAAACATGTTTGATGACAAGGACAAATAAGCCAATTTCGTTAGGTTTCCGATTGACTTTGGGATTGATCCAGTGAAATTGCATCCGGAAAGGTCTAGTGTGGACAACATGTTGAGGTTGCCAATAGAGTCGTGCAATAACCCTGAAAAGCTTGTCTGGCTTAAAATCAAGGATCGAAGAGATCCATTCTTGGGAAATTCTGGCAAGGAACCATGAAGTTCCAGATTAAAGGAGAGGTCAAGAGTTTGTAGAGTAGGTACCTGAAAGATCTGCTTCGGAAATGTTCCATTTAACCCACAATCACGTAGCCTCAAGGTAGTCAACTTTGAAAAATTGGCAAAGAATCCTGGAACCGGAGCAGAGATATTGTTTCCGTCCAAGTTCAACACCGTCAGGTTTGAGAAGTTGGAAAAGAATTCTGGAATTGGACCAGAGATATTATTGGGACTACCACCCAATTGAATCACGGATAGAGACTGAAGTTTAGCGAGGGATTGATCAATAGGACCTGAAAGATTAGTTCTATACAAGCTCAACACCCTTAGGTTTGGCAGTGAAGATGATATCGCTTGGCACCAGTGAGTCCCCTCTGCTGATACGTCTATACCGTCAAGATAAAGCTCTGTAAGCTCCGTGAGGTTCTGAAAGAGTATGCTGAACTTCGGGATTTCAAGCTCGCTGCTCAAGATATAACTTTGAGAAATATCAAGGACCTCCAACCTTGTCAAGTGTGACATCTCAACGGGAATTTTCACATAATCATTTGATAAATTTAGATACCTCAAGTTTGTCAGCTTTCCAATTGCAGATGGTATGCGAGAGCCTTCGACAAAAAAGTTAGCGGCCAAGTTGAGGCTTTGAAGATGCTGAAGATCGAAGAGACTGCTGGAGCTGTCAATGCCACCCTCGATGTATTGGCCGCTAATGTCAAGACCAACAACACGCCCGTTGCTACTGCAAGTAACACCGAGCCAAGAACAACAGTCTGTACTTGAATCCCACGATACAAACTTGGAAGAAACCGGAGAATATCCGATTGAATCACGAAACGTGAGGTTTTTCTTCAAATGGAGCAATGACAGTTGCTGGTCTTTGAGACACTGGCTGTAGACTCCAGTTGTGACATTATGACAGATAGTGAAGAAGAATAGGAGGGCAAAAGATTGTAAGGTTTCATTTTTGCTAGCTGAGCAAGGAAAGTGTTTGGTGAAGAACTGAGGGATTGGTATGGTGGCTTTAAATTATTTTTCGTCGCTGCAGATTTGGCTTGAAGTCTTGGTCTATTTCTTCTTTTTACTTTAATCCCACTTTTTATCCCACTTTTTATCCCATTGAAGTCTTGGTCTTGGTCTGTTTCTTCCTTATACTGTGATTAGTGAATGCGACTGCACACACTTTTTATCCCTTTGAGGTCTTTTTGACTTGTAGAGTCTGAAGCCTTGGTTTTTTTTCCTTTTTCTTTTTACCGTAACCAGTAATGTAACGTGCAGAAATGATTTAGACAATGATTTGCCTTTAATATCGTGGACAAATCTTCCACAGGAGAATTTTTGTTGGCTTGACTTGCTTCCTTTGAAGTCATTCCCCCATCTTTCTGATGGATTAGGTGTGAACTGAGATAGGTGTAGGCCCGGGGAATACCGTGTTAGGTAGGTAAGTTGTTTCTATGGTTTAGCAGGACTACAGTAGGAGATAGATTCTATCTTACAAACAGTTTACACTAGAAAATATGCCGAGACTTGAATGCATAAGCTTTAACTGCATGAATAAGACACATTTAACCTAAATAAATTAAACATAATCCTGAATGAACAAAAGGATAGATGAGTGAACGGGGTCGGTAAGATAAGCAGCTTGGTTTTCATATACATTTCAAAAGATATTACACACTTCAAAATATGCTTGCATCATGTTGGTCACCAACTGATAGCAAAAAAAACTAAACCACTTGTACACATTATCTTGATTTATTGTTGTTAATGCACCTTAATTTCCTTCTACTAAGGGGCATTACATCTACAATTAATCATCTACTGATAAAAGACAATCTCAAGATACTCGATATGCAACTAAATCAGCAAACAGTCCTTACTTATTCAGCATATCTACATAACCAGATTGGATCAGATATCAGACATCAAATTGTCAATTATGTTCTCTCTAAACAAATAAGACATTGGATTGCACATTAAGTAAATAAGGACCCCAAATTGGAAAACACCCAACACCAATTAGACACAAATAATACACACACACACACTGATCAAATTAATTAGTGCACATATAAAGAGATAGAAAACATAGGGAAATACAGGGAAAACACCTATCAGACACAAATAACACACATACTGTAAAGAGATAGAAGACGTAGGGAAACTTATAATAGATGACCTTAGTTTACTTAGTGCACATATAAGCTAATGTTTCTTATAAAGATATAATAATTAAAGGCAACCTACAATTGAGCCTGATATCGGACTTAACTTGTTAAGCTATCTCGGTTTGTTTAATAATTGGGAAACGTATCGTAACCTCCTTAAGGTCTCATCTGTGCATATATATTGGGAGATATGTGCATAAATATGGAGTAAAGAAGTGGTGCATTTATGGCCAGATTTTTATTCATTTGGTATTCAATTTTGTTATGACTTATGAAACCAAACGACTTTCTCATCAGGGTTCTGATCATAAACACCCCCCCTCCCCTCCCCCCCCCTCCCGCCCCCGCGCGAACAAACTATATTGATAAATCTTTATCATTACCTTTAACAAAACAGATTACAGTGAAAAAAAAGTTCTTGTTTAAAAAAAAAAAAGCAGTTTCATATAGCCTCCTAAGCACAAAATTATAGCTTAATAAAGGAAAATCCCAATCCAAAGCTCTAGCCTCTTAACCCAAAATGAAAACAAAAAGCATGGAACATATAATTCAGTTTTATTATTAGATCTTCTAAATCCCCACTTTAAATCCAATGCAAAGATAATACCACCAACTAAGGGTGGCAATCTAACTCTGGTTGTGTATGTTAGTGAACTTTATGCAACTCAAAATATAAAATTTAATCAGTTTCAGATAGTCTCCTAAGCGTCTACAAACTATTAACATTATCTCCCCAAGTTTTTTTGCCAATTTCATCGATAGCAATGTTATTGATAGTCTGCTAAGCATCTGCAAACCATTAACATTATACCAACTTAAGAGATAGCAATTACACATTCCACCGTTATACTGGCTAAAAATAGTCAAAGGATGCCACAATTATATAGCCAAATCTAGTCCCAACGTGCATGAATAAAATGTAACAACAGAGTCACAAAATCACCGTAAATAAATATACCTCAAAAGCCAAAGGGCCAAGTGGTCCCTCCAACGATTCAAATTTCTGAAAATCACAAACATAGCAAATCCAAGCACTAACTTACAGAATAGTAACGAAAATAGCTTAGAAATCACAAAATCACCGTAAATAAATATACCTCAAAAGCCAAAGGGCCAAGTGCTCCCTCCAACGATTCAAATTTCTGAAAACAAAGTGAAATATGTTTTTCATGCAAATTGTTGATGATAGCACATTTTAACGAATCATATTCAAATAAGGATGTCTCCTTGAACAAATAACACACATACCGATCATTCATGTCTCTCCTTTTCAAATAACACACAGTGATCCAAAACAGGGTATATAAAATGGACATCCTTGTACATTTCTAACTCTCTTTTTCAAAATCCAAAACAGGGTATTCTAACTCTCTTTTTCATTCATTTCACACAAACAAATCATACATTTAAAATAGTGCTTGAATAAAAACAGGGTACATAATTATATACCTGAAAATGCCAAGGAACCAATTTCTCCCTCCAACAATCGAAATTTCCTGAAATTCCAAAACATAGCAAATCCATTAGCAATATCCCCGATTACATGAAACCAAATTGGGATTTCAGAGCTTCTTTGGGTTTGGAATAGAATTTGGGGGTTTGGAGTAGCTTTTGGAGGCTGTGGGTTCAACCTTCTGTGGCTGAGAAGAGGAGGAAGAGGAAGGGAGTGAATGTGAGGGATCTAAGCGTAATTACAGCGTGAGAAAAGGGAAGGATGGGGGATTTGATGGATGGTTATCGAGAGAGAGAGAGTCAGGAGAGAGAAAGCGGTGGCAATTTTGTAAATAAAGTGAAATCCGATCCCAAGTCACTGTTCATTTAAACAATGCAATTGGAATCCTTCTTTAAACTAATGTAACTAGAAAATAAGTCTGCGCGTTGCGGTGGGAACCAATTGTTTTAGGCGTAATTGCATGAATAAGATACATTTCAGGCTTAACTGCATGAATAAGACACAAAGTCAAGAAGTAAAGCTCATATTTTTAGTAGTGTTATTTTAACAACAATTCTTCAAGTGGTGAATTGCTCAGGTGGGTAGGACATTTCTCTTAGTCCTGCTGTATTCCGGGTTCAAAGTTTCAACCATCCCACGTACCATAAGCACACCAAAGGCCAAATTTAGCATGTTCTGTCGTCATCCACCCAACAATTCAAATAGAACTTGCCAAATTCATCCTCTTAAAATACAAAATGAAAATAGTTTATGATCACTGACCTCTTTGAATTGAATGATATTCGGATTCTTCAGTGATCTGTGGTTCATGATTTCCCTTTGAACATGTTCACCCGTCTGCATCACCAAAAAAATAAAAATTTTAAAATGCAAAATGTAAATAGTTTATGATCACTAACCTCTTTGGATCGAATGATATTCGGATGCTTCAGTGATTAATGGTTCACAATTTCCCTTTGAAAATGTTCATCTATCTGCATCACCAAAAAATTAATAAATATTAAAAAAAAAATTTAAAGGATAAGAATTGCGAAGATTCTTAGGTCTTATGTAATGACCCGCCCCAAAAAATTATAGTTTTTATAATTTTAAAACATGAATTTACGAAAATGCTTTTCGAGGCAAATACGTTGACTTTTGTTGACCATCTTGTCATGTCACGTAAGATTTGTTTTCTTAGCGTATTCTTATAGTACTCGTCGCTATGAACGCGTGAGTGCAAACGGAACGTAATTTGGAGTTATTAACGAACGAAGTCGAGGACAAAATGGTCAATTGATCATTTTCTAGAAGGCTCCAGATTTTCGGAGCAAAATCTAGGAAGCCACGTGTGTGGCCAAGATTAAAGGAAAGGATAGATGGTTGGTGGAGATGGAAAATAAAAGAGAGAAATGAGGGAGAGGTGAGGACCAATCGGGAGAAGGGAAAGGGTGAATGACCAATTAGAGAGGAGAGAAAAGAGGGGAAAGGAGAGAAAGGAGGAGCACCATATCACCCTTGACCCGATTCCACCTCGCTTACCCGACATAGTTTCTACACAACCTGGTGGTGGTTCCGGCGAATTGACCGTCACCACCACCTAGAATCAACCCCACGACCTCCCTTCTTCACGTTTCACCTAAAAATCGAGGGAATTAGGCCTTAATTTGTGAAAATTGAAGGCACGGCTTCAAGAGCACCCACAACGGCGAATCCGCCATTCTTGCAACGATTTCCTTCGATTGCCACCACCAATGTACTTCCCTTGAGCTCAAAACAATGCCCAATCATTAGTTGGAGCATTAAGAAACACCATCTTTAGGGTTTCCAACGGGTTCAAGTGAAATTGAGACTTTTCTCGGCCAAATTGGCCTTAGTTACATGTATGAAAGTTGCTCCACTCATCGAGATCTTCATTCCTGTAAAATTTGGGAATTTTTGGAGTTGTTTGATTTTCCGGCAAGTTGGGGCGGCCGATTGCCACGCCCGACGACACGTAAAGGAAAATCCAAGGTCCCTCCTTAGGTTCCTAGACATGCCGAATCCGAATCCACCATCTGTTTTCCCAAATTCTAATGTTTTAGTAGAGTTGTACTAAAAGATCCGTAATTATGTTTAGGTGCATTGGCGGGAAGCGATGTCATCCTAGCTAGTTCGAGCGGTTCTTAGGCAATCAAATATGTGAGTGGACCCCTTCTTAACTTATATATTTTTATAAAATATTAACCTAGCATGCATTTCATATTTCATGCATTGAATATACACTACTACAAAAGGGCCTTATAGTGTCAGTTGTTGCGTCGGTTTAATATAATATAGTGGCGCACAAGAGAGTTGCGACACCCACTAAATATGACGTTGGATTTACAAAGCCTGCGTCGCTTTTAAACCGACGTAAACATTTAATGTTGCTTATAACCGACACACATTTTAATAATTTTAAATACTGGTGTCGCTTTTAAGCGACATAAAGTATGAGTGTCGCATAGAAGCGACACTAATTGTTGTTTTTATATATTTTAAAGACTGCGTTGGTTCTGAGCGACATATATTTTATTTTTTTTAAATATTTTGAAACCCAGTGTCGGTTGTAAGCGACAAATTGATGCTCTTTATATACCCTCCCCCGAGCTTTCTTCTTCTTCTCTTGCATTTATCTCATTCCCTCTTCCGATTTACAAAGCCTTCTGGTGTTCTCTCTCTTTCACCATTCTTATTTCTTCTTCTCTTTCACCTTCCCGTGTTCTTGCAAGTTCATTCTTCACAAGAG